ATCAAGCCCCACATTAGGCTCTGCGCTGACAGCACAGAGCCTGCCTTGGGGTTCTCTCTGCCTCTCCCTGTCTCTCTCTCCCTGTCTCTCTCTCTCTCAAAATAAATGAACATTTAAATATATACATATATTATAATTAATCAAATATATATAAATATATATAAATTAATTAAATATATATAATATGTAATTTATATGTATTTGTATGACATACTTCATGAAAGACAAAAAAAGAATGCTTGAGTAAGTGGTAAGCTATATACTATATCCAGGATTGGGAAAGACCAAGGTTTTGTGTTTTTTTATGTTTATTTATTTTTGAGAGAGAGGGCAAGTGGGGGAAGGGTGACAGAAGGGGACAGAGAGTCTGAAGCAGGCTCAGCCCAATGTGGAGCTTGGAACTCATGAGCCGTGAGATCATGACCTGAGCCAAAGTTGAACAGTTAACCAGTTGAGCCACCCAGCACCCCAGGAAAACTCAAGATTTTGAAAGAACAATTTTCCCATAATTTATTTATAAACTATACTTTTGTGTCATTTCATTTTAAAATGTTTATTTATAGATAGTATATTCACATAGTTCAAATTCAAGAAGATTAAAAAGTATACAGTGAAAAATCTCACTCACCCTTGACCTCATAGTTACCCATTTAACTCTCTGTAGGCAGCCATCTCTTTGGTTTCTTATGTACTCTGGTAGATATTATTCTATACTTATATATATATCTTTTTAAACGAACTGTGTCATGCTATCCAATACATGTGTACTTTGTTTTTTTGTTTTTTGTTTTCACTAAGCAATGTTTTCTTGGACATCTACCCAAATGAGTATGTAAAGTTTCTTCATTCTATTCTTTTAAGCTACATAGTATTTCTTGAAGTAGATGTACCATGGGATACATCATGATTTCTAAAATCAGTTCCTTATTGATGGACATTTAAGATGTTTACAATTTTCTGCTATGATAGAAATTGCTCCCTCATATATTTGATAATCTCCTATTTTTGACTCTGTGCCTATGTGCAAATGGACAAAAATTACTAGAAGTAGAAAGTTGGATCAGAGAGTAGGTGCATTTGTAATGTTGTAAGATATTTTCCTATTGCACCAGGTAGTGATCATGCCATGTACTCCCACCAGCAGTGAATGACAGTTTGCTGTGTTAAAGTTTAGTTCAAATGGAGAGATTTCTTCCTGCATTTTTGTGTCAAGATTAAGTGAGGCTGGATGTTTTATAGATTTGTTTAAAATGAAGCATATTTAACATTTATGGTGTGAATAGTCTCCTATTTTCCAACTTGAGTCATAAAAATACACTTTTTCGTTTCTATTTATGTAATAGGAGCTGTAAGTTTTACAGGGAGATTCTCAGTGTATGAAAGCCTAAATATCATTGACATATTGAACACAGTAGTATGGTACATGACACAGTGACAGACTCTTCCCTTAATTATACTCTCCTGTCCCCTCAAGATTTTTTCTGCGGAATAAAGCTTTGGCTTGCATACCTAGGAGAACTAATTCATTAAAGGTTTCCCCTTCCATAGCAATATTATCAACCTTAGAAACCTTAAAATACAGTTTACTCAATAATGTGCGTTGCAAGCAAGCTTTTTGTTTATCTCTTTATAGTAGTTAAAATAAACTTTATACCTGCTTGGTTAGTTGAAATACCATTTTGTGGATTTAGAGACTTCTTTGCTTTCTACAGTTAATACAAGTGATGTAAGAATTCTAGATCCCTGGGGAGTGTTTTTGGACTCTATCACTACCAGGTTTCACATTGTCAAAAATGAAGGGGACAGCTCATGTACCTTTCTTTTTTGAGAAGTTTTGAGAAGTCAAGCCCTTGAGAGTATATTAACATGAATGGGAAAAATAAGACATAAAATTTGTGGGGAGAAAGGTGATTACTTACATTTGGACATTTTGTTAGAAAAGAACCATTTCCATGCTCCTGGAAGTGTAACTCTTTCCTGCATGCACACTTTAAGAAACTGTGTGAATCATATCAGAAAATGAAAACTATGATGATATTTTCTGCTTCAAAAGCCTTTGGATGGCATTCAAAAAATTGTTTTTTTCAAACAAAGGAAAACAAACCTAGCAGATGTCCTGACGCTTTGTAAGTATTCAGTAAATGATGCTTGTTAAAATAGTTACTGTATTCACTTAAATGACAAATTTAAGTCAGGCTGAATGTTCACTACCCTGTGCCTTGTTATTTCAAAGGAACATTCCAATAAATTAAAAAATAAATTAGGTTAAGAACTTTTTCTAAAATGTTCTGAAACTTTTGTCATTAAATGGTTTATTTAAACAGTCTATAGCATATTTTCATTGATGATAGAATATTTGTTATTTTAAGATATTTAAGTTTGATGAGTGGGCTTGGTTTTAACTCAGAATATCTGTCATATATGATAATAGTATTTATACTCCACCATTCACAGGTCGTTAGTCAGAGGCTTCTATGGGTTAAGAGCAACCTAAAGAGCATTTTTCAAAAATCATTTACATCATTTGCAAATGGGATTTCTTCTTTTCCATGCCTTTATCATGCTTTTAAGGTGGGTTAGTAAGTATTAGCCATTAGAACTTCAGTTAGTGCCTTCCTACCTGAATGTGTCACAACACAGTTAAATAAGGCTTTAGAAGTCAGAAGGAGTAAAAAGAATTGTAGTATTTGTTTATGAGTTCTGTATCTGCTTCTTAACTTGGGACTGATGCTTCTTATTTTGGCTTAAGTATTTTTGTAGCAAAATTCATGTTTAAAATATGTTTAGTATAGCAAATAGCATATTTGTGAACGTTTTGAATACATACTAACTCCAAGTAGAAACATAAAGCTCTTTATTTTTGTATTCTCTCCATTTCATGAGTTTCCTTTTTCCTCCTGTGATCTCTGTTGTGCAGTTTTCTGTATCTTTACCCCTTCTTGTCTGGCACTTTCAAAAGTAGGAGTGGGAGTGGCAGCAAACAGAAGCACTTGAAGCAGAGCCACACTAGAGACAGAAATGAGCAGAGCCTTTGTAAATAAAACCTAAAAAAAAAAAAAAATAAGTCTGCGTCCATTATGTGCATAATTGTAGTTTAAACGCACCTATTGATGTTCATGAGTCACCCAGAAAATGAAACTTTAACATTAGAAAAGAGAAAGAACTAGCTGATTCATAGAGGTTGGAGTATATGCAACATAGTCAGAATTAAGAGTGAAACTCACTTTAGCCCCCACTCTGCAGGATGAGTGACATTTTAACACAGGCAGGTGTTACTTGATGATGGCTTTTTTTTTTCTTCTTCTTTTTTTTTTTTTTTTTAAATTTTTTTTTTTTCAACGTTTATTTATTTTTGGGACAGAGAGAGACAGAGCATGAACGGGGGAGGGGCAGAGAGAGAGGGAGACACAGAATCGGAAACAGGCTCCAGGCTCTGAGCCATCAGCCCAGAGCCTGACGTGGGGCTCGAACTCCCGGACCGCGAGATCGTGACCTGGCTGAAGTCGGACGCTTAACCGACTGCGCCACCCAGGCGCCCCTCTTCTTCTTTTTTTTTAATATATGAAATTTATTGTCAAATTGGTTTCCATACAACACCCAGTGCTTGATGATGGCTTCCTATGATAAACTGTGCTCTCATAATTTGTGCAGGTTTTAAAAACCATATTTCAAACATGCTTCCTTGTCCCCCAAAGTTAGAAAACGGCTTCAGCCCCAGTGAAGAAAATTGATGTACTAAAAATATTTCATTTACATGAAGACGATTTGTTATTGGTGTATTCTAATTCTGTCAAATATAAGAAATTACTAAATCAGTTTTCAGCGGATTCCTTTCTTGGGGTAGAAGATAGGAAAAAATGAAGGGACCAAAAGTCATGGGATACATTTGTTTATTCTTTAAAGTCTCCCAGAAAGATTACCCCTAAACAAATTAAGTTTTGGTCATCTCTATCTCTTTTCAGAAAGTGCTAGAAAAAAACAAGAAGGCATTGTGGGCAGTTCTCGTGTGTGTTTTGCGCAGCACACCCCATCTCTTCCGGCGGAAAGTCCTCGGCCATTGAAGCTTCGGAGCATTCTTGACATGAGCCCTTTCACAGTGACAGATCACACCCCAATGGAGATAGTGGTGGATATTTTCCGAAAGCTGGGTCTGAGGCAATGCCTTGTAACTCACAATGGGTAAGTTTAGTGAAAGAAATCAGTTCGCTTACTGGAATTTATGATACTGTTTAGTGGAATTCAAATTCAGTTATTAGGAAGGACTGTAAGTCAGCTTCCGAGTGGGAAGGTCTGTTTTTTTAGTGTGGTTATTATAAGTACAGGATCAGTATTGATCAAATTGACACTTACCAAGAATAAAAACATTGTCAACTGCCAGATCTTTGCCAAAACATAAAGTAGTATTTGTCAGGAACACTTCAGAGTTGGCAAAGAGGTTCTGAAACACCTCCAACATGCACATTGAGCTTAGAGTATTTCCTCTATTAGAGGAGGGGTGAACCTAACCTGTACGGAGTAGAGAAAAACCTGTTTTCTTTTTGTAAGTATTTCATTTTTTAATGTAACTTTCTAGTTCAGTAGAAACTTTCTAGATATTTTGCTGCTCGCTATTTTAGCCATTATTTTACTTATCATATAATGAGGGAAATAATATATAATTAAATTTGTAAATTAGCTAAAATCCTCCTTTGGCAAATATTTGTTTCCTCTTCTCTACCTTTTCTGTCCAGAAATCTTTTATATAAACTGCTAATGACAAACACTCATGTATTTAAAATGTGTAAGTTGATGAATTTATTTGTCCTTTCCACATGAACTACCAGTGTTTCTCCAGGGTAGGATATTGACAAGTTTTGCTTGGCAGATATCAAAGGGACACAGTGGGGATGGTATCTACGGGCTGCTCAGCGGACGCACTCCTGCTTCACTGCCTCTGCTCCCCTCTCCCCCTGCACCTGGGGTCTCTTTCCCCACCTGCTCTCTCTCTCTAGTCCCCTTTGCTTCCATCACATTACTGTTCCTAGTTGAAATACTTAAGAACATTGTTTTATCTGAAGGCTGATAAGAGGAAGGCTAGAAGTGAGAAACAAAGGTACTCTTGATTATGCATAAGCCTGCACAGCCTGAAACTGGTTGAAATAGTAAATACTTTAGAGAATCACAGCAGGTTTAAAAAAAAAAAAATATTTTGTACAAAATATGTGAGTGGCAAAACACATGACCCCTTTCTAAAGAAAGGAGGAGAAAAGAAAAAAAGGGAAGGAAATATGTGTATCGAGCACCTTCTTTGTGTTTCTTATTTAACTTTGTATATCTCTGCAAAGTGGGCAGCAGCCTCCCTGCTTTACAGTGTAGTCACTGAAGCTCAGAGGTTTCATAATATGCCCAGTCATGTGGGTGGTAAGTCATGGTTCAGGGAATCGAGTATCTTTCCAATTTTAGAACCCGATCTCTTGCTACTGCTTTTACACTGTTAATGACCAGTAGAGTGTATCTTCTTTCTTTGTGATTTCTTAAACTACTACAATTTTCTTGAACAATACATTAGGCCATACTAGGTTAGGAACAGAAATATAAAGGTAGAGAATTAGATCCAAGTTCAGTGTTTTCACTATGCTAACCAATTAAAATCACTCTAAATAGTGGCTCAGGCGGCTAAGCATTTGACTCTTGATTTCAGCTCCGGTCACGATCTCACAGCTGTGAGATTGAGCCCCACATTGGGCTCTGCGCTGGGTGTGGTGCCTGCTTGGGATTCTCTCTCTCTCTCCTTCTCCCTCTGCCTCTTCCCTGCTTGTGCTCTCTCTCCCTCCCTCAAAAAAATAAAATAAAATAAAATAAAATAAAATAAAATAAA